TAAATTGTAAAGACAGTTTAAATGTTTTAGCACATGTATGGCAAGTTTCGATAAACCATGGAAAACGAAAAAAGTTTTTTGAAAATTTGTCCCTTTTAGAAACTAAAGAGAAATGCCTTTGGTTTAGCGGGAAACTAAATAGAAAAGTTTTTGAAACTTTTAAACCACTCCAAAAGGTAACAAAAATTGAAATTTCAATGATTTGAATAAAATTTCAAATCATATAATATATTATAAATTTTAATAAATTATTTGTTTTAAGGATAAATTTGTGAATATTTACTGAGAAAATCAAATTTTCGACAAGTTTTTGTATTGGGACCCAAATTTTATATTTTAATGAACATTTTATTGCGAAATATTTTTTTTTATTGAAAAAAGTTAATATGTTTCGAACACTCAAATCTAAACTTAAATAAAACTCGCATTTAGTGAAATTAAATGTTTCACAGTTTCTAAACAACAAAAATAAATTATGCAAATGCGCTAAACAATTAAGTAACAATGAGTATTTATATTTATTATAATAAAAAATCTTTACCTTGACCAATCTTTTTTCTTGAAGATTTTGTCAGACGACTACTAAGATTTATGACTTGCCTCTCATAAAGTAGACTTTCATAAATTTTCGGTTAATAACTTTAACGTTCAATGTTGCATCATTTCTAGCAATTAATATTCTATTTTTATAACTGTTCTATATTTGTAACAGTTACCCATGACACTTATCTTTAATATGTTTATCATAGTAATTATATAAGTGTGTATTTATTCTTGGTTGATTCGAAACATTGCAGAACTTTTAAAAACCACACTGGGAAATAATAACACTTGTGTTAGATTTGGTTTATTCATTTGATTTATTCGTTAGTTTTTATTCATTTAAAAAAAAGGTTTTTAAAATTAATTACGAAAAACATGTTTAGTTGTTTATATTCTAAAAATATCAAAAATATAACATTAATTGTCCCTGCTTTATGAAATGTTCTGCGATAAAACCTTAAAGTAACATAAATCAAAAGTTTTTGATGTTCTTTTTAAAGACAGTTGAAGCATTTTGGAACATAAATGGCAGGTTTCGATAGATCTTACAAAGGAACAGACATTTTGTATTGAGTTTTGTCCCTTTAAGAACTAAATAGAAACGTTTCTGGAAGATTTTGAAACTTTTTAAACATTCCAAAAGGTAACAAAATGACATTTGAGTTGAATTTACGCAATCATTTTTGGATTTATCGAGGTAAATTCCTTCATTTTCAAGAGTCATGAAGTTACGGAGAAAATTTTAAGATCATGAACAATATGAAGTATAACTTAAGGCCAATCTGTGCCTAGTTTCTCATAAAATGAACTTTCATAAATTATCGGTTAATCGCTCGAATCTCGATTGTTGAATCATTTTTAGCGATTCTATTTTTATAACTTCTGTATGTTTCTAACAGTTACTCATGACTGTCAAGTTAAGTTTTGTTCATCTTTAGCCCCTGTACTTTCTACTAATTATCGTGACGGTGCAAAATATCAACATGAAATAAAGTTATGAAAATGATAAGCGCATACGATAATGAAAAGTAATTGCGATTTTTCTCTTTAGTCTTTAAAAAGTAACTCCAATGTTTCAGGATGACTCCAATGTTTCAAGATGTTGAGAGCAAACTTAGGTGCTGGGCCAACACCCAAAATTTTAAAAGCTTTATTTCCAGATTTTCCAAAATTACTTACGTATTCAATTACTTATAAACTGGTATGTTAATGAATTTTATTTTTATTTTTTATTTTTAAAATGAAAGAAGCTTTAAATTGGTATTTATTTGAAGCACAATACCGTAATGTTCCTAGACATGAACTTATTGTAGTGCGATTTTAATTTCTAAGCTAAATTTTATCAGTTCTCTACAAAATAATGGAACATTATGAAAATTGTTTGAAGTATGTTTACTCGCAAAATTGTTAAGTGTAGCACAGCTACTATAAAAATTCCGTTCCGTCAAGTATTCACAGTGTAGAGATAAATTTGTAATTTATGTCTAACAGGTATTAATATTTTCAAATTTGTCTGATAAAGATCTTTCAAATGTAAGACGATTCCCTTAATACTTAGTATTTAACAACAGACAAAATATTTTCTTTTTAGTTTCCTTAGCTTAATCTAGATGACGCTCGGTAGCTGAGTGGTAGCACTTCGCGCCACAGGTCCTGGGTTCGATCTTCGGGCCGGGCAAGGTTGACTCAGCCTTTCACCAAGCATGCTTGGGAACTAAACACTGGGGGTTTCGCGTTTGGCTGACCACCTAAGCGGAGCATCTGATCCTGCACCCCAGTGCCCTAGGTCAAGAAGACTGAGATGGGCACAGTAGGCCTTGGCCCTCTATGGGCTGTCGCGCCACTGAGTTTAGTTCAGCTTGATCTAGATATGTGAGTCTGATCTAAATATAGCCTGAAAACTCAAAAAAATATATAAACTTTTAGGTTTGACTTATTATTAATATTATTTTTTTGTTCAAAACACATTTTTCATTAAATCCATATGTATAACTTCTTTTGCCAGTTTTTTCCCCACAAGTTTTAGCATTGATGTAATTTTTTTATTTCTACTTTATTTTCAACTAAAAGATAAGAGCCTTAAACTTTTTTTTTTTTTTTTACTTTTGAACAATGCCTGCCTTTTTTAAAATTTCGAATTTATCATTTTCATTCTCCTTAAAAATTGAAGATTTGATATCAGATTTAAAAAAGGTGCTCTTCCGATGTCTGCAAAATTGATAAGATTGTCTATCCCCATCCGCAGTTTCACTAAAGTCAAATCAATTGAAGCCTAATCAAACAGAAATACATTTCATTGTTACAGTGAGTGTATGCATTTATTAAACTTACGATGACCTTTCACATTAACTATACGCGTGACAAATCTAAACTTTAGGCATTACTACGATGTGCAATATTCCACCACTAGGTAATAGTATTACTTATATTCTTATAATTGCTTGTAATTTCTTACTCTTATAATATAAGTATTGTTTGTAATCTTATTAACCCTTCAACGCAGAATTTTCATAAAAAAATATTTTTCATGCTTTTTTCATTATTTTGTATCAATTTTGGTCAAAAAGAGTGAAAAATTTTATATCTAGCATCTAAATAATTTATGGTTATGAAATACAGCCTGAAACATCGATGTCTTTTCTGCATTAAAAGTAAAATCTTCCAGATAGCGCTCACTTCCAAAAAATAATTTTTTGAATTTGCACTTATTTGCTGCTATTTATTTAGATCTTAGAGAATTTATTCATCATTGAAATTTCATTAATTCGCAAAATTATTTATTGATAAATTTTTAAACGTCAATGGAAATTTTTTTTACCTTTTTTGGATTTTACACTTTAGTACAAATATAACTTCAGTACAAATATATTTTTTAGTAACCTATTAGACTATTTTTTATGATTAAAAAATGCCAAAATATATTTTTGCTTGTAATTAGAGCGTCAAAAAAATATATATATAAAGGAAACCGGTGCACCATCTGCGTCAAAGGGTCAAAAGAAGGGCAACAAACAATTACAAGGTCCGCCTCTATTTCGGAAAGGCACGTGGAGGTGTTTTCCAAAAGTTTAAACTCATCACCAAATTTATAGTTTGTTATGTTTTATTATTCTAGAACAAGACATGCGTTGGTTCCAGAAATTTTTGTTGTAACTTTTCTTCATATTTCTGCTTATTTTCTTTTCTTTTATTGCCTTCCACTTTTCTATTTCTTTTTCTATCCATCACGGATTCAATAAAGCTGTTTTTGTAGTTTAAAATTAAATTAAATTTCAACACAGTTTGATACCTTACTCGACGATATTCTACAATTATTTTCGCGAATTTAGATATTTAAACTCTTTTCTGTGACTAACATCTTGTGGCAGATGATAAACGAATTTTTACAATTATTGTTTTATGCATTTACTGTTGGCACGATATTTCATCTATTGATGAATATATGTTGTTAATTAAAAATTTCCTTCCTTGAGGTTTAAAGCTTTCTTTCAAGCTAATTTTTGCCCATTTCTGTTTCGTTATTTCTCAGAATTAAATATTTAATCATGTTGCTACATTTTTATTATTTTTTGTAATTGATTGTTAAGGTACGGATAGTATTTGTAGTTAATTCAGCTTCTTATAAATGCATTCATATTTTATCTAGAAAACCAATAAAAAGCGAGGTTTCCAGCTTACTAATAAAACTATATTTTAATTTGGTTTATTATCATTATTAAAGGGCTACAGTAAAAATTACAGTATTTTTGTTGTTTCCATAAAACTAGTAAACATGATGAATTTTACCTCTCTCAGGTAGTTTTGAGCGTACATTACATAGATTTACATACATTTAAACATTCATTCATTTTCTTCAAAGATAATTTCAGCTTTTTAATTTTGAACCCAATCCAGAAGACAAGGGACCTCCTGGATCAGGTATTGAGAGAAATTTTGCCATCGTGGAGGACTTTTTTGTGGAAACTAACCCGCATTTGCCTTTCAAGGAGAGGACAATCGCGAAAACCTCCCATGGTTAGCCTGACGGAAAAGGGACTCTAACCCATGATCCGTCTATCACTGAGGATACTTTATGTTAGCGCTGTGGTCGGTATGAGCCGGGTGCGTTATTTGTATCAACCAGCTATCGCTGGTATTCGAACCTGGGTTACCGCATTGGGAGGCGAGCACTCTATCCCCTGAACCACCACAACTGAATCAAAGCAACTTGAAATGAAAAAAAAAATTAGTTAAATATTTAAAGGCAAAATTAGTGGGAAAGTGGTACTAATTCGCATAGGAGAAACATACAAAAATCGCAATGCTATTATTGACACCAAGGGTTCTTAATTTACCCCTCACGTAGAACGGGTATTCAGCTAATTGATTTATAAAATCGATAATATTCCAAACGTACTTTTAAATTTTAAGATGAGTAATTATACTTCGAATTAAAATGTACTTTCAAGAAAAGCTGTACGGTAGCCTTTAGACAATATTTCATTGATCCACGTATTTGATGTGAATAATCGAAACTATGATATCTGGATTGTGATGTAGATGAACAATCGGAAGTGTAGCAGTTTAAATAAATGTAAAATCTAAGACATTTTCCAACATAAGATATCAACGATAACATTCACATAAGATATGTATCAAAAGGAAGCTATTAAGAAACTAGATGCACCAACTAGAAGTGCCTAGGTCATATACATAATGAGCGTATCACCTCTTTTGTTTGCATTCGTTCGGGAAACAGTGGTGTTATCGAAAGTAAGATAATAATTTCGTAATTCAACAAAAATCAAACTCTCCATTGTAGTGAATTGTTCGAAAATACGTTATTTATCGTCGGTGAATTCCGCTGGATATCTTGGAGCGAAATCAAGAGCCGGCAATTGGCCATTGCCGATTTGTATGTATGCTGTTTTTGTTTATCATATACAATTTTTTTAAAATTATGTTATGTTTTTTAAATTATGTTAGAGAGAAATAAATTAAAGTTTGCTTTTAAATTTTCCTAAATTAATAGAAATTTCGCGTAAAATTATTCTTTCTTCAAAAATATTCAATTCAATATAAAATTATCAATTTTAAAATTACTGAAAACGAATTTCTTTTTTTATTTGATTTCCCTTTTTCGTTTAAATAGATGTATTTTGCGAAACGATAAGTTTTTCTAATTTATTTATTTATTTACTGCGACCAATGGTCTTATTCTTGAACTAAAAAAAATCTTGTTGTCACATAAATTCAGTTATTTTTTTTAATGCAGAACTGATAATAAAGATGATTTAAAATGTAAAGATTTGATTTCAAGATAATTAGTGAAAGTCTCAAAAATAAGAAATCGAACATAACGGTTACAAAACCTGTTATTGTTTTTTTTACTATTAACTGTTACGTTATTTAATACTTTTCTTCCATATGCATAAATCATTTGTAAAGCTCTTTACAAAATATTTGGTAATGAAAAGTATATGTCATCTATTTTTTTAGTACTTAAAAAGTTCCATTGCTGCATTATATTTTTATTATTATTTTGTTTTACTTTTAATAATCACAGACATCACAGTGCTCAACAGTGAGACAGTGCTCGCATCAAATAGAGAACAGTGCTCAAAAAAATTTCCGAAACACTCTGAATAACTTTTGATCTAATGACCGGATTTTTACACTCTAGGACTCAATCTTAATGGTTCCAAGAAGTGACCTCAAATGTGTTAATTAATAAGTGCAGATGATAACATAAGTTGCGAAATTAGACACAAAAACGTGATTTTCTGAATAAACATGCATTTTTTTCGACGGATTTGGATTCTGGACCCTCAAAATAGTTGCAATGTGAAAATAATGGCTGCAATAGTTTAGGACAGTGATTCTCAAACTCATGACTTTTGCGTATCCTTTCTAAATTTTTCGTAACGCTGTGTACCACTAATGAAAAATGAATGGATTTTTTTTAATATGTTTATTTTATCTTTTTTGGTACAAAGTTTTGGTAAAAAATTCTTAAATTTTGGTAAAAAAACTCTATGTTAGGGATAAAAATTATATTTTATAAAAATAATCAAAATAAGTAAAATTTATTAAAGCCTTTACTATAAAAAAATTTGCACAAAAGTTCAAAATCACAACTGGCTGTTGACACCACTAAGTATTAACGGTTAACTCTGCAAAAAATGGGGTTATAGAGTTTTCATGGTTAGCTTTGTTTTTAAATAAAATTTCTTGAAATTTCCGTTTGTTCCAAGATATTTCGCATAAAAACGAGTACCCCCGCTAAACTGTTCCGGGGGTACTCGTACCACACATTGGGAAACACTAGTTTAGGAAGAATAGCTGTCAAAAATTTGGTTTCCTTAATGTTAATTTTATTTTTTCCTTATTGTAAATTTTGCGTATTTCGACTCATCTCAAAAACTAAACAATCAGAAATTTTTTTGCACAGAATTATAAATTCGTTCACCCAAAGATAATATATGCAAAAAATAATATTTAATAATTTTTTTTTATTATTTTATTTAAAAAGGGGTCGGAAGTTTTTTTTTAATTTTGAGGTATAAAAAATTTTACTTCATTTTAAAAAAGCAATTTTATACGGAGGCAAAATATCTGAGTGAAATAGGCCGAATAATTCCTGAGAAATCGAATTTTTAACTATGAAATTTTTTTCAAATTTGATTTATCAGAAACTATTCTACCGATTTCATTCAAATTTTGTATTGTGCCATATAAAATTTCAGTCCAAAATGATGTGAAAAATTCGCATACCTTCAATTTGAAAAATTTTCAATTATTAATAAATAAAATAATAAAAAATTATAAATTATTATTATAAACTATTTTTGCATGGAATTATCTTTAGATAAATAGATTTTATGAGGATGTTCAAAAATATTTCCAATGGCTTAAAAAGTTTTCGAGATATGGCAAACTATGCAAAAAGTTTACTTTTAGAGGTTCAAACTTTCGACCACACTTTTGACCAAAGAACTGAGATCGTATTTCCCAGATTGTGGCTACCCCTTAAATGTTTGTGGTCAGAAATTCAATTCCGTTGGAAAAAATACAGTGCTTTTCTTGATTTTTTTCTTTTTTTATGTGTTTGCTTGATTTCGTAGCTTATGATATTGTCTGCACTAATTAATTAGCATATTTGTTGCCACCACCCTGAAGCATTAAGATTGAGTCTTAATATGGTTAAATCCGATCATGAGGTCAAAAATTATTACGATTGAATCTTTTTTTTTTTTTTTTTTTTTTTTTTTTTTTTTTTTTTTTTTTTTTTNTTTTTTTTTTTTTTTTTTTTTGCGCAATGTTGATCTATAATATGTAAGCACCATCGAATGCTAGAGCTAATTAAAACAAATCTTTATGCATATTTTTGAAATAATTTTATATTTCAAAAATATGCATCAATTTTATTGTGACTATATAATAGGATGCATATTAAACAATTTCTTAAATAAATATTTCCCCTCTAAAAACAAAATGTAATGAAATTTCTTTTTGATTTTTACCGAAAGGCAAATGTGTCAGACACATTTCGATTACGATAAAAAACGTGTCCAATAAACTAATTTTAAAACCACACAGCAAACATTTTTAAAATTTGCTCAATATTTTAATTCATTTTTATATATAAGCATTTTATTTTTAACTCATTTATTTACTTTACGAATAACAAAAATAACAGTTTTTCAATTGAAACAATAGGTCGTACTATATAAGTTATTTTATCATATCATATGAAATATATTTCGAACGGAATAAATTTAATCTGAAAGCATGGATAAGTATTTTTTCGTGTTCAATGGAAAAGTATATTTAAATTCGCCAACGCTTTTAAGCCTTTTTACGAGTTCATTTACCCTGCTACACAAAATACTGTATTGTGTATATTATTATTTTTGTTTTTGTTTAAGGAAGAAGTTTTTCTCATGAATTATGTAATTACAGGTTTAAGAACTTTTCATACTTCATAAATTACTACTCTTTCAATGCCTAACATACGGTGTCTTATTTTAAAAAGCTAAACTTTTAGCTGCGGCTTTCAGATTTAAATTTCGATTTAATCTCCAAAATTTAATATGAAAACAAAAAATTCTTTATTTTTCTTTATTTCTAACCATTTGATAACATAATTTTAATCGTTTACTCAAGTATAAAAATCCATGATTATTTTAAGGCAATTTTCATCTTCAAATCCTTTTATTTTTAAGGAAAATGAAAATAAAAAGTATTTTGAATCTTGCTGATTTTGATATTAAGTAAAAACGGCTCCTTCATTTAAAAAAAAAAAAAAATTAAATGTCTTATTTTTGATTAAAAAAGACTTATAATTTTTGATATTCTTATTAATGACTTTTTTAAGAACAAATGAATCTCTAAAAATACTTTTCAAAAGGAATTTTTTTGAATAAAATTAGAGTTTGTAAAAAATTCAAAAATTAAAAGTAACGAAAGGGCTTATTGAATCAATCACTGAAATATATTTAAAATAAGTGAAACATTAACAAAATTGAAAGAAGTAAGCAAAAAAAAAAATTTGGTTTTGAAACAACGTGCTCATATATACAGTATTGCTGCGGCCCATTGCTGAAAATTTCAATAAGCGCTTCCTTCTCCGCATCGTTGCAAAAATTTGCACTTTGGAAACAATTATATTTATTTATTAGTAAGTGTCTACTCTTATTACTTTTTGTTATATTTTGCAAATTTTTATATTTTTATAAAGTTTTAATAAAAAAAAAATTTCACATCCTGTATTCAGAAATATTATTTATAATCTATAAACGTCATTGAACAGCCGACTAAGTTTGGGATTTACGACTACTGATATTCAACTCCGTAGCCTTCTTATTTCAAACCTAATCCAGAAGACAAGGGAACTCCTGAATCAAGTATTGGAAGAAATTTTGCCTTCGCGAGGGACTTTTTGATGGAACTATCCCGCATTTGCGTTACATGGAGAGGAAAACCACGAAAACTTCCCAAGGTTAGCCTGGTGGCAAGAGGATTCTAACCCATGATCCGTCTACCACTGATGATATTTTATTTCAGTACCGTGGTCAGTGCCAGTTGGATGCGGAATTCGTGTTTGCCAGCCATTGCTGGGATTCAAACCTGGTTCACCTCATTGGGTTACATAAAAGGCAAAATGTGTCAGAATTTAGCAAACACGTTTTGCAACGCTGAATTGAGGAGTCATATTTAGTGAAACCGCCAGAAGAAAAGAGGACAACTTCATAATCATCACCCTCAATGTATATTTAAGAATCCTTTTCAAAAATGAAATAAAAACTTTATGCACATTAAGTGTCACGGATCAGTAGTGAGGAAGACGGATTAAAACCAATTTAATCGGGGTGTTTTTTTTAAAACTTTTATATAATCGATTTTCAACTCCTCTCAATTTTCCCCCAAATTAAACAAGTTTAATGTATCTAGTTCTTCCTTTTTCCGGAGTGATTTGTTAATGTTTAATAAGATTATTATTATTATTTTTTTTTTGCTGGTTTAAATAATAATTGGTGTTCTCTAGTGTGTGTACATTATTGTCATTTTTATAAGGTTTCGAATATCATATACTAAAAGGACACAATCACTCTTAGTATATTCTGAATGTAAATTAGCTACTTGTACTAAAATGTTTAATTACCAATAGGGATATACTTGAGTATGAAATGCATCAAATAGTAAATTTTGTTTGAAATAGCCTATAACGTTTAAAATCAAGAGATAAGTGATACGTTGTGTGATCCCTGATCACCAAATAGGCTAAGTGAAGGATGATTAATATGTTTTTGCTCATATGAAGATATATCAAGAATATGTGAAAGATAAAATTCTGAATTAAAGACGTCAGTGATTTGAGATCTTTTTCTTAATTATTTTAATTGTAAAAATAATGCATGTAACACCACAAATACTTTTAAATATCCTTTGCAATTACTTTCAATATTTTAGCATTATTTAGGTAATAAAACATTAATGTTAAATGAAACGTTAAAAACTGATTTTTTAAAAAAAGATTTGAACAAAAATGTACTTCAAAATACTGTTTGCACATGAACTGCCTTAATTAGGACAGAAACGTTGTTATTAAAAGGAGAGGGCATAAAATTTTGAGGTATAATGACGATAATGAAGAAAAGTCGGGTATATATTAGAGCGTCGTGAGCAAATTGTGTGCTTTCTTAGTTCATTTTGAATGTTATATCGTCATTTGTGACGCTATTCCACGATGCGTGACTGCGGATATGTCAATATGTTTACTCACAAGGTGAATATTTCGAAAACGAATAGGGTATTTAACGTGTAAAAGTCACGTTACATAAGTACGAGTAATATTAAGAAAATAATATTTAGTGACCTTGAAAAAAATATTACTTACTTATTCAGTTTTAAAAGATACATTTGGCTTACGCAAAATATTTTCTTATTTAAAATTTCCTTTTAAAATGGATAAAAAAAAATCAATATTGCACTGTGCGCAAAAAAAGAAAAGAAATCGAATTTTAAAAATACGACTTTTTTAAAATTATATTTCTCAGGAATTGTTCGACTGATTTCGCTCGCATTTTGCACTTCGCCATGCAAACTTACATTCCTTAAATTAATGGAAAAAATGGTATATCTTACAATTTAAAGTTTTTTCGACTATTATTTAATAATGTGACAAAAAATAATAAATATTGACTAAAAGTTATTTTTTGTATTATATCTTTGGATAAGCGAATTTTATAATTGCCATCAAAAGTTTTTTTATTCACTTGAGAAGTTCTCGAGTTATGGTGATATACGTAAAAAATAAAATTAACATTTAGTGGTCCAAACTTAGGAAAACTCTTATGACCAAACTAATGAGACCATACTTCCCAGATTGCGGCTATCCCATATATATTTTTGAATTCCAAAATCCGAACGGTATATTTCTTCAGAGAAAATACGTTATTTTGTCTGATTTCTTAACTTAAATTATCATCTTCACTAATTAGTTAGCATGTTTGAGGTTACCCCCTCGAACCATTAAGATTGAGTTCTAGAACGGGAAGATCCGATCATTAAATCAAAAGTTATTCATGGTTGTTCGATATTTTTTTCGTATTATAAGTCCTTTATTCATACAATATCACATAAAGTCTTATCCGGATTAAAAATACTCAGTCTCTATTCTTTCTGAAATTAAGAATTACAATAGACAATTATTTAAAAAAAAGTTAGTTCTGTATAATTACTGCAGATTTCTAATAAGAAATTTTTTTCTTTGCAGACCTGAGATGGCTGGACTAGATCTCCTGGCTCGGAAGAGTCTTGAACGTGGAAGTGACGCTTCTATCCTCATCACCAATTCCTCAATCGGCAGTATTGACTCACAGCGTCAAGATACATGGTCTTGGAAATATCTCAGGGTAAGATATTTTTGCAACAACATAAAATATAATAGGTCCTGACTAGAAAAAAAAAGTTCTTAAGACTGTTGTCTACTTTTTCAAAAACTCTTCGTTCATATTTTTTAAGATAAAAAATATTATAAAATTACCTTCCAAATTTTGTAGAGCTTTTCTTTTCTTTTTCAAAAAATAATAATAATTATTATATTAAGAAAATTATTTAATTCAAAAAGTGTTTTAACTTGCCTTATTTTGTCAAAAAAAAAAAATTCTAATTGAAAAGTTTTTTGAGAAAGCTGTGAAACAACTTTCCGAAAAACTGATCGATTTTCAATGTAGAACTTTTCTTCATTAGAAAAATCGCGAATGATTATAATCGTTTTCTATTTTACTAGTTTCTTATTGGTCCAATTTAAGTTTTCTTTTGGAATAAAATAAGGCATAACAGGACACTTTTTGAATGAAAAGTTAGTTTATTGTAATAAATAGCTGCAAGAATCTGTAAAATCGGGTCTTTCAAAATTGAGCAAAAATGTGTAAAAACATAGCTCCGAAGTAAATATAGTCAAATTTGAAAATTCATATACTTACTGAATATAGTGACACGCTCAAGACAGCTCTAACAATGGGAAATTTCTGAATTAATATTCATAAAAATCAGAAAAATTTCAAAATGAGTTTCTAAATTTTAAAGATATTTTTTTTCAATTAGCATTGCTACCATTAAGTTAAATTATTTTAATGGGATTATATTTAGTCAACCAGAGGTGAAAACAAATAGAAAATTAATCGTAAAAACGAGTCATTACGAATTTTTTTTTAAATAATAATAAAGTTAAAATCAAAGATACAAAAAAATAACATAAACACCATTAAAAACGTTAATTTTTATCGTAAACATAAAACGGCAATTGTTTTTGATTTTAATAGCATTTGGAGAGATGTAAATTCAATTATTACTTAAAATATTTGCATTGTCAATGACAGGGAATTAGTCATGACTTTTCTGGCTCACAGTCAATGTTTATACTTTTGTAACTTTTATCGTAAATGGAATTAAGGCTCATAAATATTTGTAATTATAGGTCTTCTTTTATATGGCAATATAAAATAAAATCATGATAGCACTAAACTAGATAAAAAATATGCTAAAATCCTTAATGATGTACGTGGATTCATACAGATTAGGTGAACTTTAATAATAGTTATACCTCCAGATAAGAACATTAACCACGAAAATCATTTAATTGTCCATCAAATGAACAAGACAGTGACTCATGATAGCGATTTTAGGAAAAAACTCAATTGTTAATGCTTTCATTGATATCAACAATGTTGAATGAATCGGAGTAATTTTTGAAGGTCAATTTCACGCTGCGACATGTGATTTTATGTTCAATTGTAACTTGATTGACAGGTACTTTTCAATTCGTCAACACGTGAAAGATTATGGATCTCTCTTATTGTGAGTTGCAATGGATGGCTTTGTTTTTTAAATAATTTTTCCATATCCTTAGTTTCTAAAGAATTTTTCGCTTATCAGGTTTCCTAGAAGTGTTTATTTGGGAATTATTAACAATATGTTTAGCCAAAAGAATTTGTTTTATTCCTATATTATTTTATATTTTTCAGAGCTAAGAATGTCAGTAATTTTCTAATTAAATTCCTGAATGGATTATTACTTACATCAGTAAACTGTTTGAGTCGCATGCTACTGAATATAGCAAAGGAGGAATTAACTGTTTGCAATATCGGGGAAAAATGAATAATGCATTTGTTGTAAATATTTGTGTAGCCGTTTTTAAATTGAAATTCGCTTTCGCTATGACCTGATAAATGAAAACAAAACTATGCATAAATCTTTTAACTACAGACAATTTACTGCTTGAAATTTTTTTGTCAAAACTACTGTCAAGATTGGAATAAGTGGGCAACGAATCTATCAAACATAATCAGATCAAAATTTTTAATAAATATATACTTTTTTGAAACGTACAGTGCGTCCCACTTAAATAAGGCACTCGTGATTTTGAGCATTAACTTGATGTAAAGAAAACCAAAGAGGCAAATATATATATATTTAGAAAGTCTATATATAAACTCATATTTGCGAAAAGCAATTTACTTTCCATTCTACCTGAACAGGGAAAAAACATCTATTAAATAGAAAAAGCGAAAAAAATGTGTCCTGCAGTAATAAAGATACTTCTAATTATAACTAATATATCCACTAAGTGTATATGCTGCAGGAAATACGTGATTTTATTGTTGTGTACCATTCACTAAACCCTGGAGTACATTAGCAATATCCTAGGTTTCAATGATGGCAAACTGAACACACAAACTGAACACACAAACTGAACACACAAACTGAAGCAGCTACTTTCTGGCTGCTGAGGACCCAAGGCAGTCAAAGAGTATCCGGCTTGGACAATCAGTTCTCTCTAGAAATAGTAATAAATAGATTTTTAGAATTTGATTATCTGCAGCCATTATGCAGCCTGGGGAAGTGGGTTGATTAAGGTTACCTGAAGCCTTCCCTCACAACAAAGGAGCATCCACCTTGTTGAATAATGAAGAAGAAATCCTCTTCTTTTCTAGCGTCATTGTAATAGCACATAAAACTTTCAGGGTCATCCTAATACTTTCATTTTCTACTCCTCTTTATTTATGGATAGCTTTCAACATAGACTTCTGCTATTTTTTTATGGCCTATATTTCTTGCAGAATATATAAAACGGCAGATGAGAAAATCTTTTCCAAATGGGCGGTAATGTGGGGGCTCATAAATGTTGTGGGAAAAGACTTCGACTAAATTGTTTAGCTTAACGTGGCTTTCCTCCCAGGCAGAGCGAAAGCAACCTATTACAAAAAACAAAAAAATGCTAGAAGCTAATTTACTGGCATTTGAAAGCAAAATTTTTGACCCAAGTCAAATTTTCCAGCAAGATGTCTTCATATACGTTGGTTGAAAAATCTTTAAAGTCGGGGTTTTTGGATAATAGGGTGCATATCATGAATGGCATGCTTTTTCTCATGACCTAAATTTCCAAGAAAATGTGAAGGGCTATCCTCAGTAAGGAGAAAAGATGTACAAAGGAGATGTACAAAGAAGAAACAGTTTCAGTCAGTGGCCAAATTGGAGACTGCCTATGTGGCTTTATTTCAGCGGGACACCTTTTGTCTCATTTTTGTTACTCATTAGACATTTTTCTCTGTTCAAGTAGACCAGAAAGTGAGTTGCTCCTCGAAAATATGTTTTTAGGTATGGGCTTTTATGATGTCTATGTTTGGTTTGCATTGATTTTTCTCACAAGTTACGACATAAAAACAAGATGACTTTACAGAAAATGGAGTTAAATCGGAATAGTTCTGAAAATTAATTCATAGTACTAATATCGTCTGAGTCCAGATTTTAATCTTGATTATTGCACTGTTTATCATAGTTTCGCGCTTCGCTTCCTGTTTTTGCCGGTCGCAGTTATGATACAAATTTCCTAAGTCACAGAAATATCATAGGACAATGGTACATAATCCGTGGTACATAATCTTTAAAAAAAAATTATTCAAAATGTCTTACGCAAACGACTTTTTCCCAGCTCCTGTCTTGAAATTCGAATTCTCACGCCATCTGAATCGACTTTAAAATTACACTGCCATTCAGTAAATGTTAACTGCGGTTTAAAATCTAATTTAAATACAGTCTTTTAATAAACATGATAAAATGAAATGCTTAATAAGAATGTAGAAACCAGCATAGTTAAAATGAATAAGCCCTTTTTTCTGACCGAAGTTATACTCACTACCAAATGAACATGAGTCATATTACAAACCAAAAGTTGCACGATAGAAGAGAGAGGTATAATTGTAAGGTTAACCAGAAAACGTTAGTAAATTTTACTTCTCCAAACCAGGAAAGTTTCATCTAATGAAAATGCAGTTAAATTTCACTCAAAACGTCGTTCGCAAAAGCTATTTGTTATAAAATTCACAAATGCTTATGATGCATAAAATACATAAATAAAAAGTTACATAAGATACATAATAAAAGTTACATAAGTTACATAAGATAATACATAATAAAAGTTACATAGGTTACATAAGATACATAAATAAAAAGTTTAATATATGCAAGTGAAATTTTATTTTTTATTCTAAAATTGAAGTTTCGTTTGAAAAAAACTCACATTTTAAATTTTTTTATTATTTTTCAATTCGACGAAATTTGTTTCTTATATTTTAATTTTGAAGTTCATATCTTCAATAAGAGACGACTCCTGAAAAATACTCTGCTTTCCATAGATAATAATTTAAATAATCATAACTATAACTTCTGATGGGTTTGTTCATTACAAATATTTGCGATCCACTGAGTATTTCAAAAAACAGACCGCAAATAATTTTCCTTATTCATGCGATCATTCGTCAGAGTAAAACTGCAAATCATTTTTTACAAGAAAATTCTATTTTTATGTACATCTGCTTTTCGTCTTTGATGATGCATCCAATATACGCGTACTAAAAATAGTCTACAATCATAAAAATGAATAGAAAGTTTGGTGGAAATTGTTAAATAGAATATACTAGAATATAATTGGATTTTTAATTTGCTTTTAAAAAATTCGGTTCATGGTCATGAGTGTAATTCGATTGAAATAAAAATATTTACATATGTAACCGATAATATCCAATTGTATATGGCCTTTTGAGGCCATATGCAATTGGATATTATCGGTATTATCGGTTATATTCGGCAAATATGAATTGTAGCTTCTTTTTTTCCAGTTTACAGTATTAGTTTTATTTTCTAATAGCTTAATAAATTAAATATTTTTTTTTCTCGAAGTAAAATAAATAACATTGAACAGTGATGGCACAGAGGCTAAGGTATATAACTGTCATTGAGCAGGACCGGAGTTCTGTACCCGATGGGGGCTTAACGCCTACTCAGCTCCAGATCGATGAATTCCAGATAATATTAGGAAGTAAAGACGACTGGTGCTACATGCTAGTCACATTGCCACCATTGCCATACTGTAGGTCTCAAAACTGCGGAGTCATAACCTCCATGACACTCTAGACTGAGAACAGGAGGAGTTATATACTTTCATATATTGATGCGTTTTTAAATATGTCGTAGGTTGATAAAGAAACACTGCTACTTTTAAACTGCTGACGTCATTTGTTAGGCTTATTACAGTCAGTCTTATAAGCTCATTGCAAAGTGAAGTCGGCTGTTCCAGATTTTTTAATCAGTCTAAAACACAAATAAATCAATTAATTCTATTTTGATTTTTCGCGTAACATGTTTTCAAGTGTGTAGAACAACATTACTTTCAGTAAATGTTGTGCTCGTGTAAAAAAAAAAAAAATTCTAAAATCAGTTCTTTTTTTTAATTATTTAGGATCAGTTTTGCGTGAAGCAAGCAGATTCTTTATTTGAGAAATATCAGTCTCGCCTTCACCATGCCATGCTCATCCTCGTACTCACAGTTAACATTCTATCAAGCATTTCAGCAATACTACTCATGTGTTTCTTCACAGACGTAAGTCCTACATAATAAACTCATAAATAATGGTAATACTTAAGAATAACTCAAACTGTATCTAGTCTTAAAATTCTCCTCTTCTTTCTTTCTTTGCATTCTAAAAATGAACCACAATTCTAATAAACTATTCCAGAACTGTCTGCAGTCACTTAAAGTTCCTGTCTCATTCCGAATCGTCTTAACATCATTTAGTCTTGTCCTCTACATCATCAGCTATCAAGAGAGATGGTTTTTCAGTGCTTGTTCTAGATTCATTGTCTCCTCATTACTCCTCATCTTATCAGTAACAGCGGAGAGCTTCAGCAGCATCTTGAACCTCATCAGCGGTACGCCAGCGTCTCCTCGATTCTCAGCTTATACCCTACTTATTACAACTACATTTTTACCCTTCCCTAAATGGTATCAAGTGGGCATATCAACTTTTCTTGTTACTATGTTAGAACTAACCATCAGCAGTCTTAGTTACAAACTGGAAGGAGACATAAAATGGGTAATTATTGGATTTTTTTGCTGATAGTTTTCTTGTAGCAATTGAGTCTAAATACTTGTTTTCTTAAAACAATTCAAGGTACAACTCGTAGGGCTACTGTGCGACTGTGCCTATCTCAGTTTTCGTGATCTTGGGCTCTGGGGTTCAGGGGGAGAAGGTGGGTGATAAGCCGGAACCCTCAGTGTTTAATCCTCAAGTATGCTTGGTACTCATTTAATCGACCTATTAAAGGGATTAAAAGCTGAGTCAACCTTGCCTGACCTGAGGATTCAACCCAGGACTTGTGGTATGAAAGCTCGAGTTAGATAAAATGTATTTAAATGATATGTTTATAATATTTTGATATAATTTATTTGCTTGGAAGCCCACTAAATATGATTTATCTCATTTATCGTAAGTTAATTCAATACCTTCAATAAATATTAAAAAAGAGCTATAGTAGCGTACATATTTATTGAGTAACCACTCATTTTGGTTTATTGGTAATTTCAACACATTCTGTTCTTAATTAATATTTAACATTATCTCTTTCTATTTGAAAATAGATTTCACTAGTTTTGGCATATGTTCAAACAGATTTTGAAGGTTTTCAACACTTTTTTTAACTCCATACCATGTTTGAATCAGTGAACAAATGAAGTTAATTTTTTCTTTGCTTTGTAATCCATTTTTGCTGGTAGATAGCCCATTTATTCCGTTACGGTTAAGATCCAATGATTTTTCCTGCCAATCTAAAGCAGTCGCGTTAACTTAGACAAAATATTTTTTTAAGAAACATGGCAAGGAGAAAAATCTTATTGTTGGAGGGAGACCGCTTGTTCAACTCTTGCTTCATACTTTCTATCATTATTTTCTGGCCATTGCTTATCATTTCTTTAATAAGGACAAGTGGTCCTACACCATTGTACATAAAATACAGGAAAAAAATTTCTTATAGGACAACTAGCCAGATTTCCATTTTGTGACTAATTAAGCTGTTACTGTAACTAGTAGCTAAGTTAACTGTTAACCGAGCTTAAATCCAAAGCGTAAATATTTCCTCGTAAAAAAGACCTAATCTTTGATCGGAATACAAACAAGAACAGGTTTTAAAGCGTGCGAAGAGGTTTTCCCTTTTTCAAACCTACACAAAGCAGAATTTGGTAGGACCGGGTAATAGAACTGAGTGAACCGTTTTTCTTGCTTCCGAGATCCCCTTATTAATGAGGCATGCATAAACATTCAAACCTTAACAGTTTCCCACTAGTTCACGTTGTTCCACTGTATGAAGCTGGTTTAAAAAAACTTGACTTTTTAGTTAAAACTCCATAATTTTGCTGGGTTTTTTTTTCAATTTCACGTAGAATTGGATAAAGAATACAGAGATATGAAGATAATTCTTCGCTGTAGCTAAATGGCACAATATCCGAAAGTGGTTATACCGCACCCGTTACATTCTTTTTTTGTAAAAAAAAAAAAGAAAGGAAGACAAAGCAAACGAAAGATAAAGTACTCAAAATAACAAAATTAGACAGTGTCTGAAACACAATGTCTGAAAGGAAAAAAAGAAACAATGTCTGAAAGGAAAAAAAGAAAAAAAGTGAAAAAGCTAACTAATGAAAAAGAAAAAAAGATTGATTAGGCTTTTGAATAAAAGCTTTTTATTCGTAAATTAACATTGTTATTTTTAATAATAAATTATAGATGAAATAAATTAATAATTTAATATATCTTGTTTATTTCTGCTCAGTTTTATCATTCGTTGGGTCATTTTTAATCCGTGTCCCCGAAAATAAGCTCTTACCAAAAGAGTTTCAAAACGTCATGGTCATATCAAGATTTTTTTTTATCCAGCAATTTCTTTTTAAATTTAAAAGAGTAGAGTTTAGACATTAATATTTTTAAACCTTAACTTATTTTTTCCTTAAAGCATAACTCTGGAATTTTGATAGTTCATAAAAGTGTCATAAACATACTAAAATATAGAGAGTAGATGTAAAGCTAAAAAATTTATTTTATTTTCGTCGTGAAAGAACATTGAGATTCATGAATGAAATAGATAAATGAGCACAGTTTTGAATGTCTAATAAAAGGATATTTGCTTCGATTTAATTGTAAATATTTAGTACTTGCATCTACTTTAAAAATTTCGCAAATGAGGTGCTGTGAATGTGGAATGTACTTTCGCTTCTTTTAAATGAAGGATTAAGCCGATACGGAAATGAAAGCTTGATTTCATTTAAAAGTCACTTATTTTTAAAATATTGTTTCACTTATTTCTGAAGTATTGTACAACAATTTAACGAATACATTAATATAATAAAAATATAAATTTTATTGAAGTTAGGGTGCAAAAGTTCGGATCACCTTTTACTCACAAAAAGTGATATTTTTTCTCATTTTTAGAGTATTATTTATCGGTAATATCAGCTCAAAATTTTATTTGTTTTTTCTTATATTCATTTAATTCAGATAAAATTCATAGAAATATTCATATAAAAGTTTAAATATTTTTGAAGTATGTATGAAAATAGAAATATTAAATAATATTCCAAAAAGTTAATTACTCCTTAACAAATCGAGAACCATTAGCGGTAGTAGATAAATTAATTGTTCGATATATTTGGTACATGTTATTGTATGATTCTTTCATTCAAATACGGCTGTTGTCAGTTAGCAGATGAATGACCCATTTGATCATCTTGAGTAGGGACCGAGGGAGCACGGAATCGGTCCTCGTTAAACTGTTCTACCGTAAAGTACTCGATTCCACGCGCAGATCGTCGATCTACCAAAGCGGGACAGCCATCCCCTCTACAGAGGATCAAAATTGTGATGGCCTGTTCTCGGATCAACCTCAGGGATGTTTCCCAAAACGTCGCCAACAATCTATTCTGCTGCTCTAGTGCGGCGTAAATAAAATACTTACCAACTTATCATTCAAATATTCTTATTATAATTATATAATTCTAATTTTACAAAAGAAAAATCAAACAGATAATTTTAACATCACGTGCGATCTTTGCTGAGCATTTTTATGCCATTTTTTTTTTTTTTTAATTTTTATGTAATCGTAAGGAATTTAAAATAAGCTTGTAAATTTACTTTTATTATTAATTTTTTCTGAGTTCGTTTGTTATAATATTTTCTTATTAATAAAACAACAATCCTAAATTAAAAATTTCTATTTCTGTAACTTGATTACAAAGAGGATTAGCTATTTCGCGATCTGTTATCAGTTCTATGCTATTTTTAAAAACCACAAAAGATAAAATTCAACACAGAAAAGACTTATCATTCATATTTATTGATGACGTTGTTTTAAAACGTGTGAACTTAAACGTGTTAGCTCAGACCTTAATTCTTTTAATCATTTGTAAAATCTTTATTTAACAGTTGACTGTTATCTTGACACTTCATAATCCCAGATAACTTTGTTTTTTTAAACAAATAATCGTCTAATACATTTTCAGAAATGCTAAATAGGAGCTTGATAGCTTGATGGAATTATTATCAATAGCTTGATAGCTTGAATATCTATAGCTTGATAGATAAACATTAGTTTAAAGATGGCAAATGTCAAATTTAACAATACTGGATAAAAATATAAATTTGAAACATTTATTTTATTATATAGAATTTCTACAAATGTATTGACTTAAATTATTGTCACATGTCTTCTCCATTTCATTTTACTTTATTACCGGTGATGATTCACCGTTCAATGAAGCTGTTCAATGATGTTCAATTCTGCGTACCTCTGGGTTTCCTTTGCACAACCCAGAAGACAAGAGATTGATTGAATGAAAAATTTAATAACCAAACAAAAAAAGGAATTAGCTATATTGCACAAAATGGACATTTAAGATTTTTAAAAAAATCCACCAGTGCTGTAGATTGTGTCAAATTCTGGAAAACGCTAGCTCCAGAGGTGCAAGGAAAAGGGACATTTAGGACAACTACTTGGACACTCTTCTGAAAATGTGTTTTAGTTAAACTTATCTGAATTTGCTATATACAGAGACGAAAAACGTGGTACCAAGCCGACTCGGTTAATTTAACTTGACTAAAACAAGAACAAGCGGCCTTATTTATTCAAAACTATGAAAATTTTCGCCATTTTGGGTCACTGATTTTGTGGTAATTTTCAGGCAATTTATTTTATCTCATGTTACTCTGAGAAAAAAAAGTATGATCTAAACTGCAAGAATACGGTAAAACGTATCGTGTTTCTGGCTCTATGGGAACACCTAAAATCTCGATAATTTTTACAAAAGCTCTTTGTTAATGCTTTTAGTAAAATTAACAATTAGATAAGGTTTGATAATATGTCATAAAATTTAGTAAATGTGGTAAAATTTGGTAATTTTATCATGATATTTTAGAACATGGCAAGGAAACATCTTGTATGGTGAAATTTACTTTTCATGTGTTGTAATAAGAATTATAATTTTGAAAACCATTCCAGTAAACCGTTACCATACAAACGAAAAAATTAGCAAATGAATGGTTTAAATACCATATATTGTGGTTTCTCTTAAGCAGAATTACGTTTTTTTTTTTTAATCAGAAGCGTCATTACCATATAGAACGGTAATTTCAGCAGAATTTTTACAAAAGATGTCATACAGATGCGAAATATTAAAAAGTATTTCTACACGTGATATTATAAGGGATGAATTTCGGATTTCAAACTCTGACATATAATATACCGTAATACTCATTTTTAAATTTTTAATATCAATGATAATTGACTAACAAAAATATTTCTTAACTAATACGCGGAAATAAAAGATTTTTATAAGTTCATAATATTTTTAATTATGCTTTTTCTTTATTAATGTATGTAATTTCAAAAAAGGAAAAAAAGTGCTTGATTGAAGCTTTAATTTTAGTTGTTAAAAAGTATAGAAAATTTATGTTTTCTTTTTCTGGAATATAGATACTGAAATGAGCTTTGAAAGTTCTGCTTTCTAAAACAATTAAAATAAGATTTATTTTTGTTAATATGTGACATTTGTCCAAATTGTACATTATTCAAGGCTCGAACTGTTCTTAAAAAAATTTAAAAGTGGTGATAATATTTAAATAAATGGCAAAGATTTATTTTTATTATCTTCCAATTAAAAATACAAAAACTGTGACTTTGTTTCCAGATATATTTATAAAAATAAAGTTAAGCGAAGTGGTCGCCATGAATTTATAAAACTACATTTTATTTTCTCACCTTTCCTAGCTGCTAATTGCATTTTTAAAATTTTTAAGGACACTACGATCCCTGTGATTATTACTTCCTACAAAATGATATCGGGACTTAAACTTAAGAACGATAGTTGAAAATTTTTAAATTAACTCAAAATAATGCCGAATTTTATCACAGCAGTTAGTAGAGTTTCATAAAATTTTAAAAAGCACATTAATTATATTGCTTATAAACATGAGATTAAAAAATATGATGTATAAAACGAGTAACATTTGTTTAAATTTTATCATAAACCGTAAGAGCCTTTAAAATTTATTCTACGTTTTGAATAATTTTTGAACCTTAGGTAGAAATTTCATTTGTTATAATTTAACTGATAAATCGAAAGCATTAAAGTTAAATAAAAACTTTAAACTTTTTTTTAGCGGCAAATGTCAACAGACGTCATTTTCTACTTGTCACTTGCCTTGGTGGGTCTATATATCCGGTTTCTTATGGAGTTTACGAACCGAAAAGCTTTTCTTGACCGAAGAGAGTGTTTCGAAAGCAAATTTCATCTCCAATACGAAAAAGATCAAGAGGTAAGAGAGAGAGAGAGACTTTTGTTCGATAAAAACAGTTATTTTTACTTTCGTGAAACGAAAACGTCACGAATGTTTATTCAGCTACCATAACATGCCCATCCATCGTCCATTTCATAATCTTGTTACTGAAAAATAGCTTTCAAAAGAACGATTGTCTAAGAAAAGCTGCCATAAATATGCAAATCGGAAAAGTTTTCCGGATTTCCGTTTGAATCTTTACGTTCATTTTTCTTAAAATTCAGATTCTCGAAATAGATTCATTTTTCTTTCGTTTTCACTATTCGCGAAATGTACAGTGAGCAAAAAATAAGCTCCACCTTGTATACTTTTTGATCTAATGATCGGATCTTCATGTTCTAGGCCTCATTCTTTGTGGATCGAGGGGATGACCTCAAATATGCTAATTAATTAGTACAGAGAATATTTTAAATTGCGAAATCGGATACAATAGCGTACTTTCTTTGATGAGGAAATCTCTAAATACGATTTTTTTTTCAAATTCGATTTCTCAGGAACTAGTTGACAGATTTCGCTCAAATTTTGTATTTTGCAATGTAAGACTCTTAGTAAATAAAATAATGAAAAATAATAAATATTTACCTACAGATATTTTTCATATGGAATTATCTTTGGATGAATGAATTTTATAATTGTGTACAAAAATGTTTCAATCAGCTTAAAAAGTTCACGAAATATGGTGAAATACGCGAAAAATAAAATTTATATTAAGAAGTTTAAACTTTGGACCGCTCTCCTGATCAAACAATTGGAATCATTTTTCCATTATTGGGGCTACCCCCTATATTTTGGGGATCTGAAATACGAATCAGTAGAAAAAAAGGTATGTTTATTCAGAGAAAGTACTGTGTCTGATTTCATAACTCAAAATATCGACATCGCTTATTAATCAGCATATTTGAGCTCACCCTCTTGGACCATTAAGATTGAGTTCTAAAACGTGAAGATCCGATTATTAGATCAAAAGTTAGTCAAGGTGTTCGCTCTTCGTTTACAAACTGTACGTTTTCTAATTTTATTTCGAAAAGAAATCAGCATATGCTATAAATGTTCAGAAATGATTAAAGCAAAATTGTTCATTATTATAATTAATTATTACAATTACTATAATTAATGCATAAATTGAATAATTATAATAATTGCAACTTTTGTATTTATGCATGGGAAAAGGGGAAAATGTATGTTTGTTTGAATAATTTTGCGCCAGACAATGCATTGCTAATACAAATAAGATTCATTTGAATTCAACCGTCACGATTCCAAACAAATTTTCAAAGAATTGCTATTATATTTCAATATTTAATTTCCTTAATTTTAGAAAATATAAAATTTTTTTAATATTCATCAGAAATATTATAATTGATTTTTTAAATCAATTGGTAGAAATATTTTAGCGAAAAATAGAAACGAAAATACTTATGTTAATAATAATAATTTTCAAACTATTCTCAAACATTTTTCACCAAATGTTAGTAATATTTTAATTTTATAAACGACATTAGGTAGATAGAAAAGATGTACATATATTTATATATTATAATTCAATTTTTTATAATTATTTTTATCAAAAAAATTTTAATTTTTATGTTAATATTTTTTATTATATTAATTATTTTCTAATAAAAATTATAATCAATTAATTAAATTGAAAATAGCCTAGACCCGAATTACTTTTTTCTACTGTCGAGAAGTTACGGGAAAAGGAATAAGTAAGTTTTACGCAGCTTCTGTTAAGAGAAATGTTAGATTTTAAATAATAGAAGGGTCGTTAGCACAAAAAAGATTTTTTGTTTTAGGGAATTTATTTCATGTAGAAGAAAAGTATAAGTTAGTGTTTTTGTGCTTATTGGTTATTTGTTTTTGTCTATTTGTAATTGTTTAAGAATTTGTTTGAAAAAGATATTGTATAAAAATAAAAGATTTTAAAAATATATAGTTCAAGGTCTTGGAACACTTCACAATAAGGCAAGGTTTTTAACTCTGCTTGTTTTTAACTATATAATCTACAGTACATTGAGAAAAAATATTGTTAAAATTACCAAAATATGGTAAAATTTGTAGTGTTTCTGGCTGTATGGGAACACCAAAAAGCTCTGTAATACTACCGAAGCGCTTTTTTAATGGTTTTAGTAAAAGTAGCTACAAAATGTAGTATTATAATATGTAATAAAATTAGATAAATGTGGTGAAATTTGGTAGTTTTATAATGATACCTTAGAGCAAGAAATAAAAACCATTTAATCGATTGCATTTATTTTTTAGCTTTGCATCTTTTACTAAATACGTGATAATAAGAACTATATTTTTTAAAACCCGAATTTCTGATAAACCGTTACTATATAAACGGAAAAATTACCAAATGAATGATTCAAATACTGTATATTTTAGTTTTATTGAACAGAATGATTTTTTGCCAAAAATTTCAGTACGGTAGTTATACCAGAATTTTTTTTTTCTACGCGTAGAAATGTAAAAATTAAAGTAAGTGCGAAAATATCAACAGTAAATGAATCATAAAATGACATAAGAATAGTATTTTCTACGTTAGTTAACTTAGTTAATTAACAGAACATTAAGTAAAACTAATGTTTCAGGGCAATTGGTTAATCATTCAGCTCTTTTTTCTTTACTGAACTGTGAGAAATAAAGATTATAATCTAAGAAAATTGTTATATATTAATTTCAAATTAAAGTTTCTTCAGATTATGAATCCAAAATAAATGATTTGATTTCAATTTTCTAATAAGTAAAACAATTTTCCATTTAAAAATCGTAATAAAGTGTTACATTATTTCAATGAATGCAATGTGAACGTTATAGGATCGTCTCCTGTTGAGTGTTCTTCCCAAACATATTTCAGTACAGGTAAAAGAATGTATACGAGATGTCATACGTCGGATTCATCTCACACCCATGCCTCAAAGACCTTTCACAGAACTCTTTGTGGAAAAACACAGAAATGTAAGGTGAGCGGTTTTTTTTTTCTCCAATTAATTCTTAATCTCAACATCTATATATATATATTTCTCTTACACGGCACCAAAAAAAAGCCTCATTACAACTCCCCGAATGGTAACATTAGAAAATCGACCAATGATTGCTGCTAAAAATGTCACATGGCAAATGTCACATGAGGTGGCTCAACATATAGCGCTTTTAAAAACGGAAACAATAACCAGAGTGAGCATTATCAGGTTGATCAAATCAGATTCATGCCCTAAAAACATGATAATATTTAATTTAAACTCAATTAGGAATTAATTAGGCTGGCCTTCTCCATGACTATAAATAAGTCACAAGATCAGACTTTTGAGAAAATCAGCTTAGTATTTCTCGGGTAATGCTAACAGCCATGCATTTTAATTTATTGTATGTAAAACATCCTTATTTTGTTCTAAAATGTTATGTACTTTATCACAAATGTTAATTAATATAGAAATTGATTTCAATAATGCTGATCACCAAAAAATATTTCATTTGGCGATAAAACAAATTTTTGTGTTCTTGAAAATGAAAGACTTTTTGAGGGTTATTATCTCACCAGGAAAAGTTAGGGTTTAAAGTTTATATTTTTAAATAATAAAATTTTTTTCTAAAACTTTCAGAATTTCTAGCATTAACTAATTTATTATACACATTTAGTTGAATTTAGGTGAGTAACTGCAATATTTGATAATTTATTTTGCTAATATGTTTCTCATTTAGCTAATGTTTTGATTTTTTCACCATGTACAATCTAAATAGCTAATATACTTTTTTAAAAGCCAATAAGAACATTGATAGAATTCTTCTACATAAGTACAATACTATGTCTTTGATGATAAAATACTATGTCTTTGATGATAATATACTATGTCTTTGTGCTAGAACATTGTGTTCATTGGCGAGCGAGCGCAGTGAGCCATGGTTCACGGCGTGAACCACATAGGATTGCGTAGCAATTCTCGGGGGTTGGCGAGCGTTAGCGAGCACGGGGCAGAGCCTCCTAGTTTATATTATTTCATCCCCATTATTATTACATTATTCCCCTACCCATTATGGCCCATGATTCTTTTCAAACTACCCTTGAAAACACTCAGGGACTACCTGGCCCTATAGGCATTTAGAATTTAACTTTCCCCATCTTTTGTGAGCCATCCAATGGCACTCCAGATGCCTCTTCTGTTTCAATTTTCTAAATTTTTATTTAACTGCTTTGTAATTATTTCATTATTATTAATAATAATAAAAATGGTTCGGGGGCTTCCCAAATTGAGGACAGCTCAGTGGGACACGGGATAGTGGGTGTTTCCCTGCTGTCTGCCCAGTGTTGGCCGCGCGCCTGCAATCAGTTGGGTGATGCCACCCTGTGAGTTTGGATTTGGAGCTGGACTGCTCACAGTTCTTCGCCTGTCGGCGTGGCTGTAGTGCTCTATGCCTGGCTTGGCTCTAGGCCTTGTACCTAAGATTCCGTATTACTTGGCTCTCATTCTGAGCTCGGCTGCTTCGTGGAGCGAATCGTCTTATTTTTTTGTCTTATGGACTCTGCGGGATAAGGTCACCACAATTTAATTCCTTTTAAACGATAAGTAGAAGATGATAGGCTGGGAGACAACAACGGAGAGATGACCCAAACGTGCCTAAATTATTTATTTGCGTACTCACATTTTAGACTCAGATCAATTAAGTCTCAACTACTGGGTTTGAATATTAAGAAACTAAGTGGCTTCAGTAGCAAACAATCTTTCGTCTAGGCTTAAAAAAGTTAAATAAAGCTGCTTGGCAAGCTAAGTCCATTTTAATTACCAATTAAACGTCTCAAATAAATGATAAGATTGATGTTAACTTTTTAATGTTAATACTCACTTTCACTTAGTCCTTATTTTTAATTATTTTTTCAAAGTTTATTTTTTACTTTGAAGTGTTTTTTTCCCCCACTAATTTTCAATATCCACTGGAAAACGCCTGCACATATTATTAAATAATTTTGAATTATTTGAAACTTTAATTTTGGCTTATAAATTTTATTATTATACGTAAGGTTAAAAAGAATTTTAAAAAAAATCAAAATTAAAAAATTTGTTCTTATGGAAAATAATAATTTTTTTTTCAGCAATTTAAGTAAATCTGCATGTTTGTATTTTGCAATTTCTGTATTTTGACGTAAAATGTATTTTTTTTCCAACTTTAACATTAGTTAAGAAGATCTAAGGGAAATAATATAAAAATAACTTTCCATCTTAATAAAAGAAATAATTTATACTATTATAAATTATACTTTTAAAATAAACTTTTTTCTTCATCCGAATTTCGATTAAAACTTTCCTTAAATTTTGAAATATAAATAGAAAAAATATAAATATTAAAAAAACTCGTTGATTTTTTTTAATATTAATATTTTTGTTTTGTTTATCTTTTCAGCATTTTGTTTGCAGACATTGTTAATTCGGTTGCTTTGACAGCATCACTCAATGTGAGTGAATTGGTTGAAACTTTGAATGAATTATTCGGCAGATTTGATGAATGTGCAGAGGTAAAACTAAATACTTTCTTAGTTATTTTTTATTTTTCTTAGTTAATAATTTTAAAAAAAACGTGTTACAAAATTGAAAGAAAAGATTAATCCTTTAATGCAGCAAGATGCATAAAAAATGAATATTTATGTGAATATATCTTTATTTCTTATATCAGAATTATGTATTTATTTTTTTAATCAAAGTCAATAATGCATGCTTTATTTAATTTATTTATTAATTAAATCATTTATTACTTTATTTATTTACTTAACTGTTATTAGTATTATTAAAATTTCAATTTTTTGAGTTAATTAAAAGAATCGAGTTTCATTTTTTGAAGTTCTGAATTAACAACTTTAAGAACTATAAGGCAAAATGAGCGTTCGTCAAAGCCCACGAAACAATTGAACGCAACTGAGAGCGATTAAAAAATTGTCTGCCAGTCGTCAACCGATCACCAAAAATGCACACCGTGTGCATTTTATTATTATTTTTTTAATAAATATAGAATTTTGAATGTTTTATAATATTCTGAAAATTACTTTCCTGCTTTATAAAATTTTTTCTTCAATTTAGAAATGAGAGTTAGCTATGTTTTGAGAAACGCTTCAAAAAAAAATGCTTTGCATTATTAATATCAACAATTTCTTTTAAACGTTTTAAATTTTAGAAGAAAATTATATACATGTAAGAAGCCGCCACCGCTAAAAGTGCTATAACAAGTCACTAGCTAGTAGCTAAAGTTCCTAATTTTGCCTTATATTTAGAGCTATAAAGCATATTTTATTGAACTTGAGTTTTGCCTGAAAGACTGCTTTCTTCAGCAGTTTCCCGAAAATACTCATGACTACTTAACTTTATTTTTACTTATTTACTTTGAAAGAACTATTTAACATCATCGAATATAAGTCGTGCATCTTGGATGTGATTAAAATTGGCCTAAATGACGTTCTACATATTGAATATAAACTCTGTATCTCGGATATGATTAAAATTGATCTAGATTTCTTTTAACATCATTTAATATAAGTTATATGCATTTCGGATATGAAGATGTGATTAAATTTTGCCTAGATGACTTTTAACATCATTGAATACACTATCTACCAATAAGTATCTGAACACGTGTGACTAAAAAGAAAAACAAACTTCATTCAAAATCAATAGTTGTAATTGCCTCCACGAGAGGCAATTACAGTCGAGGCCGGATTGACCATTAAGCAAACTAAGCACGTGCGTAGGGCACCAGAGGATAGGGGGGCACCACAAAGCCTAACTAAATGTTCGCAATTTTTCGAAACATTGCTTATAAATTTATTATTTAGCGCTTCCATTTTAAGAGTAGGGCTTCAATCATTTTCCTAGTTTACAAGCATTTCTAAGTGCGAATTTTTTCATAACAAAAGAAAAAAAAGAACGAAAGATGTTACGTATAAAAAATTCTTGTTTTTATAATGAAATTAGGTAGTAAATTCCTATGCGATAAAATCTCTATCTACTTATCGATTACAATGATTTTATAGCATACTGCTGCGATTTATGTTTACAGAATATTTTCCTCAAATTGTACCAAAGTCAATACTTCAGCAATTTGATTTTTTTAAGTAGAAAAATTTTATTTCAAAAAAATTCATTAATGAAAAATTTTATTTCAAAAATATTGATTTGATGATGTAAAAAAAACTGTGTTATGCCTTTTTTAGCAGTTTTTGTACTTTTTTATGTTCTTATTTGCTGCACATTTTTACAAAAATATTTGCTTATACTATATCTTTAATTAATATTCTCATTGTAACTGGAAAAAGTAATCTGTGAATTACATAAAGGTTGTGTAGGCACCCATTGATTTCAAAATTTTACGTTAAATAAATTTTTTCATTCACTAAAGGAAGTAAAAGGAGCTGTGTTTAAGAATCATTTTTCGATTTTTTTTTTTTTTTTTTTGTGAAGTAAAATTTGCACAAATATGACCACGCTAATATGATTTTTTTTTCTATATATATCGAATATTGAAATTGGATTTTAAGATTTAAAATACATACTATGTAATATGAATGCAAGCTAGTTTTTTAATGGAGAAAAGAATTACAGGTCCCATAGTCCTTAGAGTCTTGTAAAAATACAAATGCTATAAAAGTTGAAAACAAAAGATGTGTAAATTCACAATATGAACCGGATGTTCGTCGACCGTGAAAAATACGTTAAAAAGAGTACCCATTAATATTAATTTAATTTTAAAATCAAATGTAAGAAATAAAATCAAATTTTCAATCATTGAATTAAGTATATTTTTTACATCTGATAACGAACTTTGTTAAAATTAATTAGGAAACAAGAAAAGCACTGAAAATTTCAAATTAAAAATTAATAGTAAATTTAAGAAAGATATTTTTACTAAATGAATTTAAGAATATGTTTAATAACTAATCCTTAATGACTTAATGATAATGATTAAAGTTTGAGCCAATGAAAATTATTATCTAGATTATATATATATAAACATTTTTAAATACTTTTAGGATCAGATACTTGATAAGTATATTATGGATATTTTGCCTATAATTTCCGAAATTTCATCAATTTTTATTAAAATGATAATTTGAACATGTAAAAATTTTAAAAATAATAATTTTATTTCTGTTACTAAAAATAAATTTGATAGTTGTGCTTAATTTACTTGTAGCTCGTGTATACATGAGATTGAAATAAATAAATAATTAAATAAGTTATTTCCATCATCCATTAATCTTCTTTTTCTTTAAATAAAAATTGATCATTCTTCATAAACGAATGGAAAAATATTGGTGATGGTGTTATTTTATTATAAGCTCAACACAAGACTACCCGAGAATGTTGTTCAATTTGACCTGATTTTGCTTTTGCTGTGTAACAAACAATCCCGCCGAAAAACAACAAAAGCTGTATATTGCCTGGAAAGGCTCTGGAAAAGGACCGCCGTGATTGTCACCAACATATGGGTTGAATTTTTTATTTTTATTTCGAACAATTTTTATTTCGAACATTTTACTCGAATGAGCTGCACAATCGGTCTTGCCGATGAGCAGACCTAGTGCGCTCTCCAGAGGTGGTATCCACTCTTTCAGGACCACCACAATGGGTGAGATACCGTTGGTCATGTTAATTTGGACGTCTAGTTTCTGCCACACTAGATGGCAGCAGAGAGACTCTATTTGGATGCTAAAGTATATAAAGTATATGGGTTGAAATAGAAAGCTAAATTTTCTTCAAGTGCAACCAATTGATTTACTACAGAGAACATTCCTCCATCTCAGATATCTTTAAGCATCCTATAGGTGACTCATTCCCCCTTCCTTTTTCTTTTTTTTTTCTTTTTCTTGGAGAAGCGGTCCTAATCTCAGAAAGTTCAAGTTGGCCTAAATAACTTTTTGCATCATTAAATATAAGTTCTGTAACTCAAAATACGATTAAAACTCACCTAAATAACTTTTAGCATCATTAAATATTATAAGTTCTGTATCTCGGATATGATTAAAATAGGCCTAGATAATTTTCACATCATATGACAAAAATATTTCTTGTAATAGCAAATTAATCACATTTTTGTTCTCTTCCTCAGAGAAATCACTGTCTTAGAATAAAGCTTCTAGGTGATTGCTATTACTGCATAAGTGGAATACCCGACAGTGATCCACTACACGCCGATCACTGTGTCCAGATGGGTCTCGACATGATCAACATCATAAGGTTCGTACCTAACCTGATGACATTTTTTGTGACACTAGGTTAAGAAAACAAAACCAACAGGAATTCCATGTTCAGTGACAATTTAGAGAGGCAGTATGAGCAGATATTCACAACATAGATCCAATTCATAGTTTAAAAAATTCAAATAATATGTACTACAATTAAAAAAAAACTCTTTTTATTTTTGTATTTCTAACGTTCGTGCCCGATTCGTTTGCATCGGGAAAAAGATATTGTTAAGTGTCTGGTTAGATAGTAGAATGCTGAATAATGTGATCAACAAATAATTGTGAATAAGTTCTGCAAGCGATTCACTTAACTTTCATATTATTTTCAAACCAAATATCTAAACCATAGCCCATTGCGAAGCTCTAGTGTGACGTAAATGAACAACAACAGCAGCAATAAATATTCAAACCAAAATTTCAAACCAATTTGGTCAATCCAAAAAAAATATCATTTTTCATTAAGACAACGCAACAGACACCGAAGAGAAATCCTCTGTCATCTTCTGATCCCGCAATGGACTGATTGTTAAGACACGGTTCCCTGCAGATCACAGAAGTTAAGCATCAATGGCTGCGGTCAGTGTGCGGGTGGGTGACCACTTGGATCAGTATGCGTAGGGACCGAGGGTGTGCGGTATTAGTCCTCGTTAAACTGTTCTACGGTAAAATTTTCGACTTCGCTTGCAGGTCGTCGGGCTACCGAAGCGGGGGTGCCATCCCCTCTGCAGAGGATCAAAATTGTGATGGCATGCCGGTGGATCATCCTCAGGGATGTTTCCCAGACCGTCGCCAATAGCCCATTGTGCAGCTCTAGTGCGACGTAAATGAACAAAATCGAATCAAATCTTTTAAAAAATTATTTCGTTAAAATGTATTGTTGTTGTTGTAGTTAATTTACGTCGCACTAGAGCTGTACGAAGGACGACGGTCTGGACACCGGGGAAAAAAAATTTTTTTGCATGTATACAAATACTTGATCTTGCATAATTCGGGTATGGAAATTTCAAATCTGAAATTAGTTTAGCTCCTAAAGCTACATATTATTTTTAAATAAGATTTTTAATCTATTTTATGTCAAAATGTACGAGTTTGAAAGCATTACATATAGCCGGGGGTCTCGTAACTGTTGCGGTGAATTTCTAGGGGAGTTAGAGTACATCACTAGGATTAAAATTGCACAGGAATCCATACCCGGAAATGACGTCGTACACGGCTAGGGGCGCTTCCCTATAATGGCCTGTTCAGAAGAACGTGCGGAAGCAGTTCATAATAGGGAAGCGATATTTGTGGGCATGGGTTCCCCTGCAATTGTAATCCTGATAATGAGTCCTAACTCTCCTACAAGTTTGTCGCAACAGTTACGAGATCCCCAGCTATATATAATGCTTTTAAACTAGTACATTTTGACAAAAAATAGACTAAAAATTTTATTTATTAAAAATCTGTTGCTTTGAGCGAGAAGCCGTTTGCAGATTTGAAATCAACGGAAAATATCTAAATCCGCTAAAAAATTTCGTGCAGCAAATAAAAAATTGATCTCTAGTGTAATCAATTTATAAATGCAAGAAAAAATTTTAAAGTAAAAAATTTATCAAAACTAATTTTTCTTGACTTGTGACGACCGGCCTGTGTGGGGGTTAGGGAACTGCATGACCTTGCATCAGAAAGGTTCTGGGTTCGAATCCCGGGCAAGGTATGGATGCTCTTTCCATCTCTATGTACTATCTGTCCTTACTGTGGGAGCAACGTTGGCCCACCTAATATGGTGCCCCTGAAAGAGAGGCCAACGAAACTGTCCTGTAAATGCCTGAATTGACGAATGTTAACACAGGTGGGGATTGGAAAAAAAATTTTCTTGATAAATATAAAGCGCATTTATATTTGACTATAAATAGTTCACTTCCCTTTTCAGAAATTTTCGAGAAGAGACGAAAGTAAACGTGGACATGAGAATCGGGGTGCACAGTGGCAATGTTCTGAGTGGCTTATTAGGGCTTCGAAAATGGCAGTTTGATATATGGTCTAGGGATGTTACCATAGCCAGTAAAATGGAACAATCAGGAAGGCCAGGGTAAGAAATTTATTTATTTATTTTTCAGAAAAAAAAGTGATTGTAGAAATCATTTGCATTACATGGAGAGGAAAATCATAAAGACCTCCCACTGTTAGCCCAACGGCAAGGGAATTCCAACTCAAGAGTCGTATATCCTCTGTGGTAGTTTTAATGCTCTTTTTAATTGGAAAATAAAATACTGTCAGCTTTTCTTTTGCAAACTGTAAAGCCCTTTTTTAAAAATATTAAAAATATTTATTTCATGCTTATTTTAAGGGACATATTAGTATTAATAGTTTTTTTTAACCATTTTTTTAAGTAGAAAAATATTTTTATTTGAATACACAATAATGCTCTTAATTTAAAAAATTTCACTTTTGACGTAAACTCATATTTAAAAATTAACATTTAAATGTAAAAAGTAAATTTTTGAAACAAACTTTCTTTATAAAAAGGTCTACTTTATAAGCATTTACACTCTTGAATTTCAAATAATTAAATAATTTTTGAAGTTATTAATGATTATATATTAATGATTTCTTAAAAATTTTCTTAAATAATTAATGATGTTTCTCTTTATTAATACTTTTTATGTAGAAATATGATATTTAGTTACTTCATAACTATTTTTTGATGAACACAAAATTTTACTTTTCAACAAAGTATGTACTTAGTAAAAGAATGTTTCATTATTAAAACGTTGAAATCCCATAAGTCCGGTAACAGTCCCCATAAGTTACATAAAAGTAGTTTTGTAGTAGAAAGTATTTTTAGCAGTTTTAATTTCATTTTTCCATATAAATTGCTTTATTGCTTATTCTTGCGTTGATTATTTTTTCCTTGGAAAAATCTACAAATTTTATTAAAAATAATTTTAAAAAAAGACCAGAAATTTTTTTACCGTTTTTGAAAATAACTATAAACCATTAATTTCCATTATTTCCAAAAGATTCCATAGTTAAAAATTAAAAATATTAGAGGGCTTGAGTTTCACAAGACTTACTGATGTAATCTTTCTAAAAACTACACGAGAAATTTTTTTTTGCAAAATTACCATATTGTATAGCAATAATATTTCTGGTTAATATATATGTGTAATTCTGGTTAATAAAGCCAAACGATATTTAAATTATTCATTTGATAATTTTTGCGTTTATATGGTAACGGTATATCGAAACTCTCGTTTTCCAAAATCATAGTTCTTACTACCACACATTTAGTAAAAGATACAAAACTGAAAAGTTAATTTACCGAATAACTGATTTTTATACCATGATCTAAGGCATCGTAATAAAATCACTAAGTTTTATGACTAAATTTTACCACTTATTATAATATTATATTTCATTGTTAATTTCATCAAAGTTATTACCGCTTCGGTTAAAACTTTCCGAGCTTTTTTGTGTTCCCGTAGAACCAGAAACACGGTAAATTTTACCATATTTTTATAGTTCTGACTATACGTTTTTTCTCCTTCTTTATAACATTTTTGGTATTCATTGCGAATTATTTCATTTCATACCTATGCTGTTGTTATTCTCCTCCTCATTTGAAATATTTTTACTTCAACAGATGTGTTCACATTACCAAGGCCACCAAAGACTTACTTCAAACTGAATACATGATTGAGCCAGGAAATGGAAACATCAAGGATGATTACTTAAATAAACTTAATATGGAAACTTTTTTCATTGCTCCGAAAAAAACAGTTAGTAACTTTTTTTATACATTTGAAATTTTACGACGGAATAAAGTAATTAGGTTATTATTTCCCATGATTTCAAGAAACAGAAGTTGCTTAGTCATTGCATCGCTAAAGTGTGCGTACTTATAAAGTGATCGAAAAGAAATATCTGGATTTGTAGTCTTGTTTTTAAAATTCCCGAATAAAATTGTGCAGAATATCACGCATTTATACCAGGTTTTAAGATACAAGTTTCTAGGATAAAAAATATTATTAAAAGTGGCTCGGAGCTTTTGAAGTAAAAAAAAAATCGCAATCGATGCCATTTTTTGCATCTATACTAATAACATAATAAGTATATAAAGACTCTTACTTGAAAACTATAAAATGAGGCAGTAAATAATAAAATAATCGATTTTCTTTTATTCATTCATTTCACGTAAATTTACAATTCTTATATCGTTTACTTGTAATATTTGGAAAAAATTGTGTTCCTTTAAATAAACTGTAAGAAATTGGATTCTCTAAATTCCTGACATTTTCTGATAAAATTATTTCATAGGAAATCTCCCTTAAGGGCAATTCCATATGTGACGGAATGACATTTTGACTTGCATGATGACAATTAATTGAAGTTTCTATGCATCTAATTTCAAATAAACATGATTTTTTCTCATGCATATCATTATTATTGGTATAATGTGATTCATAAACTAAAAAAAAAGAATTTTGTATTTTTTTTATTTTTAATTTTATGAACTTTTTACTTGTGTGACGGAATGACATTTTGGCAACCAAGCTTTCGGCATGCCGCTTAGAACTGGTAGTTTCTGTGAATTTTGCAACTATTATTTTCCTGAACTATTTTTTACTTTTAGTATAATGTGTAAGCAATGTAAATTGTGAATTTGGAAAATTAACCTCAGGTTGGCTAGCAGTTATTAACATCTATTTGCTGTGACGGAATGACCGTGACGGAATGACAAAAAGTTTAGTGGAAGAAAGTCTTCATTTAAAAAATGTTTTATTAATATGTAAATGATAAACAGAATGTAACAGATAAACAGAATTAATATTTACGTAAGAATCAGTTAAAATTTCAACAATTTGAAAATTAGGTTGTCTCAGAAGAGGTTTTATATCTAACTTGCCAATGTCACATCTTATCTTCGTTCTCAGGAAATTTATGCATAAATCAATTTTTGTCCCATGTTCTTTAAATACTTTAACATCTAAATCGTCTTTGTTTATCAAAGTAATTTGCGCTGCATATAAATGTGCCTTCTTTTTTTTCGCAGTATGGGACAATGATTAAAGAGCCGACCGCATACTCCTCAATCATATTTTCCATTTCCTCTTCAAAACAGTGGCTTTTCAAATCATACACTTGGTTTTGGTTAAAATTAGAAAGCATTCCAATTTTGATGATTCGCTTCTCAACTACATGAGCATCTAGTGCAGGTCTCTTGTTCCTGGCAATGCTAATGTAGCAAGTGTCTAGCTGAAGTCATTCTCTTTTGCCCTCTCTTAAATAGAATAGCTGGACAAAAACAAAACTTCAACGATTTGTTGCTTCGACTTTATGAAATCATAAAATTCTTTTACATATTATGTGCCGTTTTACAGCAGCCAACATCTTGTTTGGCCTTTTAGAACAACATCACAATTACATGGTATTTATAGGTGCATGTGCTGTGAGGTATTAATGAAATACACTTAACAAAAATGAGAATAAGAACAAAAATGAGATAAGACACACTTTACATCAATATATGCTTCTTTATGAAAAGCCTCTTTTAAGGCCATAAGTATATATTGCATCTGCACTCTTCGTTACTCTGTCAGAGTTTGTATTATGACTGAATCCTTCATACTTGGGGGCTTGTAACTAACATCATCTTGACAGTAAAATTTTTTTAACCAAATTAAACAGCTCATCAACATTACTTTTCTCACTTAGTTTCTTTTGAGTTCGATGTTAAATACTTCTCACATAAAGACTGAATTAATTTTTTTACCTCTATTGGTGATTTTGGAAGTGAGTGTACAATTTTTTTTATGGTGAGTGTACAATTTTTTTTTTGGGTTTACCAAGACTCTGCAGGAATTTGTATAGGGAATTTAAATTATTTGTATGTGAAGAGATTGGTAGAATTTGATTTTTTCTTTGTTTACACAATCTCTGCACAACAGCGTTTGCACTTCTGAGTTTTTTAAGTCCAACTTTTGTCGCGGAAGCTTTCTTCTCTGCCTTTCTTTCTCTGTTTTTTTTCTTCATCATATCATGGGGATCTTGGTCTTTTTCAACATTTTATCTGTCTTTCAACAGCTGTTTTAGCCATTAGGTTAATTGAAAAAAAAATAATTCCCTAGTTTTTGACTAAGCTTCTCAAGGACTCGTTTTGTCATTCCATCGCCGAAGATGTGTCATTCCGTCACGCTAATTATTGGAAGTTAATAATCAAATGCATAGAATTTTACAATTTCTCATTGATTCTTATGCCACATCTGCTTTATATTCCAAAATATACACATTTTCATTCAAAAACGCAGTTGCTATTTAAAAAAATATACTAAAACATGTGACGGAATGACACAAAAAAAAGTTACTTTTATTTAATATATTAAACTTAAAATGACTTAAAGGCTATGTTTTAAATGTTTAAATTTTGTACTATATGCATATTTTTATCAAAATATTGCAAAAGAAAGATACATTTCTTTTATTTTATAAGTATTTTTCAAGAAAACAATTTGAGCACAAATGTGAAGAATTCACTTGTCAGCCATGTGATTACTTTAGAATGCTGCCAGATTCAAAAAACTTAAAATTATCAAAAATTAAACAGTAATATGTAGACTTTGGCTATTTTTGAACATATTTTTAAAATTAAAATATGCAATTCATAAAAAAAAAATTTCACTTAAAAGTTGACAATTTCGTGGAATTGCCCTAAAGTACATTTTGTCAAATTGCAGAAATTACTAATATCACTTTTTTTAGAATACGAATGTTCTCAAAAGAGTCAGGCTTGACGCTACATATCAATTACACACTTGAGTAGAAAATATAACATCACAGCGTCTGTACCATCCCGTCATACTATGCAAATTTCTTTAGAATCAGAATATCTAGAGATGACGCACTACATTTCGCGTTTCATGAAAAATCACGTGATTTCGAATATGTGTCAGAAATAAGGATATATAGCTCAAGGATAGCTGAACTGTCTAAAATGAGAGTTTTATTTCTGAAAAAGGTGTATGTGGACCATTGTACTTAATTTCCAAAACAATTAAAATTATATTTTACTGGCTCTGTTTTAAAATGGCGGGAACTGTCGAAATTTTTTCAATGCTATATAGGAGTAATTGCTAAAGTGTTTTTTTTTCCCCTCCTTTTTTTTTCTTCAAAAGACTACATATTTTCAATTTGATAAGAAAATATTTAATTTAAATAAAAAGTTTTGTTTATTCAATGAGAAAATTGTTGTACGTGAAAAGACAGTTGTTTAAACTGGTGTCCTAAAGTTATTCAAATTAAAGGTAATATCTAAACGTAGTTTAGTCCGACATACGGGTAACACTAAAGGTGGTAATACTACTGGTAATATTATGGGTATTACTAGATATACGGGTACTATTCTAGGTAATACGCATCTGCGATTGGCTGAGAGCCAAATTTTACAACACCGATATAAAACAAAAATTTCTCAAAAGAATTTACGTAGAAAAACATAGACAAGATATTTTATCTGAACGGAATCTTAACTAATCAAAGTATCCATTACACACAAAATTAGTGTTAAATATTTTAGGAAATAATAAGCTTTTAAAAACTTTAACTTTTACTAGTTTAATTGTTTTTATTTGCAAGGAAAAAAAGAATTCTTGTAAAAACTGAATTCAGGCTATGAAAACAAAACATACAATATTTAAGTCATTCATATAGCAATTTTTCCATTCATATGATAACGGTTTATCGGTAATTTTGGTTTTCAGAATTATAGTTCTTATTACCACATATTTCGTAAAAAATACAAAACTAAAAAGTATATTTAACCGAATAAATGGTTTTCATGCCAAGCTCTAGGTTCTCATGATCAAATTACCAAATTTTACCACATTTATCAAATTTCAACATATATTATTACTATATTTTGTTATTGAATTTACCAAATTCATAATCATATTTTCGTGTAAGAAGCCAAGGTATGAGCAAAGGTTGGTGAAGGCAATGTTTGCCGAGTGTATCAACCGATTCCTCTATCATTCTCGTTCACAACCTTAGTCCAGACAATTTTGAAGTTGTTTGTCGAAACATTTCTAGATGTAAAAACTCTAATCTGAATCAAGAACTAAGTCTGATAACTTATTTCCTTTTATCACAACACGTAAATTAATACTAAATTTAATGATACAAGAATTTGTTTTTAGATAAAATCGTCTCTGTACATTGTTAATCCTGACAGGAGCCCAAGTCATTCGAGGAGAGCTTCTTCATTTAGACATTCCAAAATTCAAAGGGTTTGTTGTTATTAATCATTATTTGTATTACTTCACATTCTTTTTTATCAATATTCATTTGATGTGGAAAAAAAACTTTTTTTTTCAGAAATTATCCTCAGCTACAGAAGTACTATCATCAAGGAGACGAACTGTTTTGGGTTTCAGGTATCTTAATTAAAAAAGACTTCTCTTTTTTTACGCGTAAGAGATTAAATAATGACAAATCCGTTGTGGATCAATTGCATTTTGTTCTAAATAATCAAACGTAAAATTATTAAAAAATCAATTTGAACAAAACTTTATTTATGAACATTAAATTCTAGCGATAATTTAAAAAAGCACATATTCATCAAAATTTTAGTTTTTACTCTTCGCACTCTTTTCGCAAATAGTGATAGATTTTCATAGTTTTTCTCTGCCTTACGTAGATTATACTCAATAATCTTCTAACTGACTCAGGTGTTCACTTTCACTTCCTTTTATAACCGGCTTTGAGCAACCGACCCTATTCTGAGTGAACGACTTTCAAAGTTCACATATCCAACTCAGAAGACAAGAGAACTCCTGGATCAAACACTGGGACAAATTAACCTTTATGGAGGATTTTTTTCATGGAACTAACTCGCAATTACTTTACATGGAGAGACGACATTAAAAACCTCCCAGAGTTAACCTAATAGCAAGGGGAGTTTAACCCATGATCCGTTTATCACTGTGGATATTTTACGTCAGCATTATGGTTGAAGTGAGCCTGGAGCAAAATTCGTATTAACCAGCCACCGTCGGGATCCGAACTTGGGTCACCCCATTGCTCTATCCCCGGAGCGACTGCTACTCTCAGGTGCTTACTTATCGTCTGAGTATGGTTCAAAATTTGAAAATTACAATTGCCTCAAATCCGTATACTTTGATAGGCTATCCATCGTGGTGATAACTGATGTTTGTTTTCATATAAATTTATTTTACTTATCTAAATAATAAAAATAAATTAGAATTCATAAGATATAGTTCTAATTCAAAATGAAGCAATATTTTATGTAAAAGTTTTCATAAGTAGAGAATGTATCGCACAAATGTTTAGCTCACTTGCATAGAAACAAATTATCATTCACTTTGGCTAAGAACTTTTACAAAATAATCTAGTATCTATAATAATGTAACATAAAACTGATTTGCATAAACACTTTAATATTAAAGTTCATTTAATATGTAGCCCATTGATTAAAGAATCGAAAACCTCACCACAGTGAAGACACACCGATATATGTACACGTGATATACGTGCTTGTAAAATCTGTGGAATCGAAAATCCTGTGGTCCGTTGCTGATCAGTACCATGTGTACAGGGACTTTCCTCTTCAGATTTATGCCTAAATTGAAAAGTAGCATCACGGTGCTGCCATCTATCCGTAGGGTTTTGGGTCAAAAAGTACTTTTATCGTACTATGCTCTCTTGTCAAACGAAAAGCGCACATTCCTGACTTAATTCGCAAAGCCTATGACGTGCTTGATTTATCCAAGTCTCATTAGAAGCAAAATTATCAAATAAGGAGTAAATTAACATTATATATATAATAAATGTTTTTTATTGTGTTAAACCAGAAAAAAAGCAGCAGCTTTTCATAACATTCTTAATTTTTAATTACGCTTGAAGCTTTGGTATCTACTTCATAATTAGCTTAATAAATCTTATCAAAGTATAAAAAGTATTCCATAATCCCTGTCTTTAATCAGTATTTTAAAAATTCTTTGAAAAAACTAAGTCAAAATAGTACATATACATATTTGGTTGCAAAAACATTTAAGCGAAAGAAAAGAAAACGCCTTTATTATCTAACCCCTTCATTATTGAAAAAGAGGAGTTTAAAAGCAATCAAAACAAGTTCAATTACCCCACGAAACAGTGAGGAGATGAGAGGCAATTGTCAGAAAGATCTTGAAGTTTTATTCAGTAATCAGTAATCAAACAAGTTTTGATGCTTTTAAACCCCTCCTCCTTGATAGTGATTAATCAGATTTCTATTTGGCTTTTGTTTTTCTTGTGTTTAAGCATTCATTTGCAACTCCCAATATGCATACTTTTTGACGAGGATACTAAAAGTATTCCATTCAATTCTATTTTTAAAATTAAAAATAAATATTTTATTCATTTTCTTACAGTCTCCTACAATTTCGCCAGATGGTGAGCCAAGTAAATGAGTTTATGGAAAGTGCTATTGATGCTATGGCTCTAAGTAAGAAAGAGTACGTTTCTTAAAGACTTTTGGCTTGATGCATGAAAGACATATAAAGAATTACTTCTTGTTACAATTAATCATCAATTATTACTTCATTTATTTCATATCTCTATTTATTCAGGAAATATTTCACTTTCAGTAGTTAGTGGTACCGGCCAGTCAAAGGGTCGCATTTTCTTAATGCATTTTCATGGAAATTTAAACGATTTCAGTATTCTTATTTCGTCCAATTTTTGGAATTTTAAGATTAACACACAAAAATATTAAGTTAAAAAAAGATAAAATTACAGTATAGTAAAAAATGCGATTTATTATTTTGTGCTAGTAAAAAAGCTAGACTCGCAAATAAGTCTCTACGAGCTCTTTCGATTTCAATTTTAGACAGAACAGCAAGAGAAGTAATCGGATGACAGTAAAATTCTTCAATAAAAAGGTTAACTTTAAACACTTCTTTTTATAATTTTAACCAGCAGAATCTATGGATGATGTTTTCTACACTAGCGAAAGCTGCAAGCTCCATACCGCCTATACTTCCTGGTAACTGTATCCGGTGTATTTTAAAGCCATTTGGCTCGCAACGTGATCATTGTGTTTTGAGAATCTTGCAAACGTGGTATTTGATTATTTATTACTTGTGTTTACAATGTTAACAATGCTTGTGTTTGCAATGCTAAAGGTGCTAACACTAACGTAAGATGGTGCACAGCTTGCAACAAGAGCAAACAGTAATAAACAAATGGAAAGAGGCCAAATCAGGACTGCCAAAAAAGCGAGTTATTTAAAATCTAGCAGCCATGTCACCTTTTTTAACAATATATCTATAAATAACTAAAACAAATTTTCACTTCAAACTCACCAGAATTACTTAACAGCATTAATATCTTACGAAATGCAGCAGGTTTGAGCTCAGAAATTATATTATTTACTTCTTTTATTAAAAACAAAATTATCCGTTTGAAAATATCGCCTCACAGAATAAGCTGTAGAAAGCAGTTGCAAGCTTTCTAACCGGAACTAGAGCAGGTATTGAGCTCGAGATTGTTATTGTTTACGTTTATATTGAGAACACCATCCATTATACTCTTTTTAAATAGAATAGGTATCTCAAGGGTACGTGATTTCTCCACTTTCCACACTTTTCCTCTCTCCGTTTCCTCCAACTCCTCTTTTTCCCCACGCAAGCAAATTACAACTTCTGACTGAACCCCACTGCCGTCATAAAAAAGCAAGTTTTCGCCAAAACCATAATTATGACGAGAGGAAAAGTATAGAGAGTGGGAAAAAACGCCATCTTGAAACACCTAGTCTCTTTACAAATATTATAACACAGTGTTGGGTGAACCTATAGTTCTCAAAATAGTTTCATTGCTCCGCTAAGCATTGTAACGATTGAAACTTTTACTTCTATTATTTTAGAAAATAAATAGTGAGATAAAAAAAATTCAAAATAGCATGAGGGCGTAAAATTTTTCCTTCGTAAGTCGTTTGATCTTATTTACTGTTAATTTTGGAAATAAGAAGCAAAATCTTCAGATTTGTGTAAAAGGGACCCCAAAAAAGGAGCAGCTCAGGGCTGGGTCTTTAAATTTCTCGATCCGTCCCTGACTTATATAGGGGAACCTAGGACAAAACTAAAATGTTTCATTATTTTCTTCCTATATTATGTGCTGATAACAGAAATGAGAGTATTGTTTACTTCATTAACTGTCTTCTAATAGTTGTTCATTGATTTTCACAATTTTGTCAGCATTTTGTAGAAAGCAGAATTGTCAACATTTTCTAGAAAGCATAAATTTTGACATTGTTTTAAAAAATGTCATGTTATTTGGCAAAACCCAAAATTTTGAATGAAATCGGTCGAATAGTTCTTGGGAAGTCAAATGTTAAATAAACGACTTTTTAGAAATTCGATAACTCTGAAACTCAAAAATCATAAATGACGGATATGTACCTATGACTTTTGACTCCCCTTTTCACAATTACTAAGTTTAAAAAATAATAAGATTTAATTAATCACTATTTAACCAGTCAGTCTTAAAGTATGGAGTTTTTAAATACACAGCAATCAGCCTTTGAAGTATACAGAATATTGAGTTGATAAATGACACACGATTACTGAAATTAGTAGAAATGAAATGACGTACCGGTCCACCAGTTATCTAGCTATAAGCTATCTATCTAACTGAAGAGGACGGATAGCTTTAGCTATCTGTCCTAAACAATTTTTAGCAAGATTGTAAGTATGGTTTAAAATTTAAACACAGCTTAGAATTTCAGGCCCTTTGAAACTGAGGTATTTCCATTTTTCTCTCAGAAAAAGTTTTGAGAAAGATTAACTATCATAAAAATTAAAAAAATAATTGTAAGAATAATAATTGAAAAACCACTTTTTTACCGGTTTGTATACATTAAAAAGATAAAAGTTTTTTTTCTGTGTAGTATTACTACTAAAAAAACTTATTTCTATTCCAGCCAGTGGCTTAAGCCAGAAGGTATTCAGCCATTACTTCTAACCTTTAAAGACAAAACAGTAGAAGTACCATTCCTGTTGCAGAAAAATCCACTTTTCAAATATTCCATATTAGCAACGCTTTTTACTGCTTTTGTTCTAACAACTATCAGTTGTCTTGTAAAACCCAGGTAACCAAAAATAATTTCAAACTATATTTTGTATTGGACATCTTTAATAAATATTTAAGATTCAAATGTTGCTTATTAATTGTAACTAAAGCTTGTTTTAGATTCTTTTTCTTTTACATACGCTTTTGAAATTTAATTTACATCATTATTTCAAAAGTAAAGCATTTCGTAATCTTTCTAATTTGACGAATAATGAGAACGAAAGTTTCTTTTTACTTAATTTTCTTAATATTGTATGCATCTCATGACAACGATTTTCATTGCTGAATATAACAGTTAATTTACAGTAAGGAATACCATTATTCATTACAACGAAGTCGACTACATTGAAACTAAAATAACTATTTAGTCAAACTTTTATACTTCTTGTAACAAATGTTTCATATTAGCTATAACAATGTTCTCTATATGTTTGAAAATACTCAAAATTTGTTTTGCCCGGAAAGTTTTTTTAATTAACAACAAAAAAATTAATTTCTGAAAGTTATATATATATATATAT